CCCCCACACCCCACACACACGCCCCACTCACCCACTCCTGCACACCCAAACCCCCACCCACCGTAGTAAAACACCATCTTTTCCGCCAGCCTGCGCGCCCGCCTGATGTCTGCAATAGCGAAGTTTGTGGCCTCCCCCAGAACAGCCTCCACCGCGATCGACCCCGCCAGCGCGACGCGGATGCGGTCCGTCAGGCGGCCGCGGGTTATCATTGCGTAATCCTCGTCACTGGTTTCATGTTTGAGGGGGTTTGGGGTAGGGGGTGGGGGGAGGGAGTGGCACAGAGGGGATTAAGGGGGTCGAACCGACGGCGTGGCAGGGCGGCAGGGGGAATCAGGAGGCACGTGAGGGCCACCCGCGGCCCCTGCAGGCGAGGCAAACCCGCACCCCGCCGACGGCACCCTCCCCGCCGGCCGTGCCCGCGCCGCCCATGCGCCCCGATGCGCCAATCGCCCGCAAAGCTCACGTGCCGCGCGCGAACAGCGTGCGCGAGAGGCTGCGGCCTTTGGGCTGGATCGAGACGCGCTCGACCGGCTCTATGCGCCCGTGGCGCGCGCGCAGCAGCGACGCGACGAGCGCGATCCCGGCCTCCTTTGCCGCAAACGCCAGCACGGGCAGCCGGTTGCTCGTCGGCAGCGACGGCCGCAGCTCGCCCTGTGGAAGTTTTTTTGGCAAAAAGCCGCGGGCGTGCGGGCGCGTGGGGGCGGGGCGGGGCAGGCTGGGTGCAGGCGGCCCGGGCGCATATGCAGAGGGGGCGGCAGCGCGGTTTGTTTGCCTGTTTTGAGGGGAAGGAGGTGAAGGGCTGACCTGTGTGAAGCGGTCGACCCCGGCGTAGACGTCGCGCCGCGTCAGCTCGGTGCGGCCCGCGCGCACGGCTGCGGCGCACACGGGCGAGGGGGCAAGAGAGTGTGTGCGTGTTTGTGAGGTCGTGAGAGTGTGAGAAGAAAAGTATGTGTGTGTGTGTGTGTGTTGATGCGTGTGAGTGCGCGCGTGCAGGTGCAGGCTGGGGCACAGGTGGACAAAGGTGGAATGGAGGGGGGAGCAAGCAGAGACAGGCGGGGCCTGGCATGAGCAGAGTGTACTCTTGCCCGGCGCCTCACCGCTGAGCTGGGCGCAATCAAACACACACACACACACACACACACACACACACGCAAACACACACACACACACGCACGCACACATACACTTTCTGACACACACACACTCTCTCTCTCACCGCTGAGCTGGGCCTCGTTGACGATGTTGGCCAGGTCAGCGCCCACCAGCCCAGGCAGGTCGCGCGCCAGCTGCAGCAGGTCCACGTCAGGGGCGAGCT